CCTATGTAGGAGCTCCCCTCCACAGTCTGCATTTATCCATGATGCAAGAAATTTGGAAAGCATCCTAAGGCGATCAGTTCCTACCTGGCCAGCCAATTCAAAGTCACACACAAGCTGTGTCTATACTAGAGAAATTTTCCAAAATTTCTTGCTGTAGCTACCATCAGTTCATCTCCACAAGAGTTAACACTGGGGCTCCTAACTTTGTTAACAGATCACCAGTGTTTTTAAATCGTCACCTGATCTTGTTCACAGCAGGTCTAACAACACTGTGCTGAAAGCAGTGGCAGCAGTCCATCTACACTAGGGCTCTCAGGATTGCAGAAAGGGGAGGACCTGAACCAGGGCTGGCAATCATGGAAAGCATTTGCAAAATTTAGGCAAAGCTTGAGACCAAAAGTTACCTCGTAATATTTACTCCCAAATAAGAAGGTTTGGAGTTTTTTTTCCAAAGGAGTTAAAGTTGAAAGCGTGCTTTAGAGTCCAGCTACTACCTAAAAAATACACCCTCTTCATAAAAACCCTACACCTTTAAACAATCTGGGAAGTTAACATTGAAGGGATCCACTGCCATACCTTCTCCATCATTCTGCCATCACTTACTATCTTACCTGATTTACACCAGTAAGTGTAAGTAGTTTTCTTTGGCTGCTAGGTCTATGTTGTTTATTCAATGGATAGTAAATATTTCAAAGTGTAGAGTCTCAGGTACATTGTTACATCCAAGTTCCGTATATTTTCTCAGTGTGATATATTGGTGGAACAGAGTGGAAACACGACTGATCTGTGGCATCATAAGACAGGCTGACTCTATGGCATTGAAGGTTTATGTAATTGTGGGTACAGCTTGCAAGTTTGTATTTTTAACTCCATTAACAATAACATGTAGCAACTAACAAATGCAAATTTTGTAGCGAGTAGTGTTGCACTGTCTCTCTGCTATACTACCATGGAAATGGAGTCTGAATAAGAAACAGGATTTTATGAACTCCTAGTCATTTGTCATTTTGACCTTTGCACAAACTTCACTAGTTTTAGAGGGACAGTTAAAGATGGTTGGGTGGTGTAAAACAGGCAGTGTGAGAGCGAGAGGTGAATCAGTAAAGTTCAGAATTTTTAATTTTCTGGTTTTTCTAACAGCGTCAAATTTTGGTCAAGATTTGTTTTTGGAGGAGTCCACTGGAACACACTTTCAACATTAACTTATTAAAACAAGCTTTGTTTGGGAATCTCCCTGATTTTAAATGCGTGCCAAGTTTAAATTGGGTTGGCATATAAAGCCCAGAGGAAGGCCCCCTTGTCCCCTCCTCATAGATCATAGCAAGCTCAAAGCAGGGCTTTGTCTCCTGCATGAGGGATACATGGGATAGCGAACAATGGAGGAGGGACAAGCTTTCGTGCACACAGAAACACTAATTTTTATGTCCAGAAAATTCAGTGTGGATAAAAGAACATTTGGCCTCTCTCTGTCCTTTCCAAGTGTCCCATAGCAACCTGCAACCCCCTCCCAGGGACTCCTCTATGGCCCCAAGTCCTCTGCACCATCTTTCCCCATTCTGCACCAGTCTGCTTTCTCCTACAGAGCCCCCTCCCAGCCCTTCATTCCAAGAAGCTAGGCAGACTGTTTTTCCTCTAATTTGCCCCACACCCCCAAACCATGACTACCTTGGTTCCCTGTCAGCTCCCCCTGAACACTGCCCCTCTGCATTTGCCACTAGTCTCATACCCATTCGCCCCACTCCATACCCCTCACCTCTGGCTCAACCCAGCAGCTGCAACAGTAAAGCCTGGAATCAGCTGCAAGCCAGTTTACAATTCTGTATGAATGTAGCCCAGGTTGTGACTGTGGGTCACAGGAAAAAAAAGAGGGAAAAACAAAGAAGAATCCCCCAACTCCTGCAGTCAGTACACAGCCTGGCCCATTGTGTGGGATTCAACATCATCAGACTTAGAGCAAAACAGCAAACCAGGATCATTTGCTTCAGTCAGGGGAAACACACACAAGTCTCCTATAAGAAACTGCAGAAGCAAGAGTCAGTTTCCCAGTCTCACTACAGGCCCAAGACCTTCCTGCGGCAGTTTCATTGTTGAGCTGAGAAGTAAGAAGAGAGCATCATTTTTCTTCTGCTCAGAGACTCTCCCCCAGCTTTCCATGACATTTCATTTGCCAAAGTAAGTTATGCTGAATTTCACCCTCAACTGAAACTAAAGCCCCACTCTCCCTCCCTGACAGTATTTCACACACTCAGGAATACTAAAGATTTTTATCTAGTCTGGAGCATCCACAAGGAGCACTAAGAGTTTTGTTAGGCAAGATCATTTATGATAAATGATTATAACGGAATCTGCGTCTTGCAATTTCAAAGTTTAAATACAAACAGTAGCTCCTTTCTGTGGAACTAAGACACAACATACGTAAAAAGATGTTTTAGATAGGAAAACTCGAGTTTACCAGGCTACTGGCAGCAGCAGAATATCACAAGTGGATTGGTTGTGGCACATGGAATGCAGGACTATAACCAGCTGACTATATTTGCTTCCATTTCCCTTCATTATCATCAAAGAAAACTTCATATCCTTTGCACTGTAAGGCTAGTCTTGAAACCTCTGCTACACCTTTTCCACTTAGAGAGTTCTCCAGTTTACATCCTTGCAGTAAGAGTCAAACTTCAAAACGGGAAAGCGAGACGCCAACACTGCATAGTTCTTATCTCATGTCATGCACCCCAGGAAGGAAGAGAAGGAGGGTGTGCGTGGAGGGGAAATAAGAAAGAAAGCTGAAAGTTCAAATCTGTCACCCTGTAGAGGAGGAATGGGTGGAAAAGGCAACAAGATTCTAAAAGAATTATAGATTTATTATTTCAGTAGCTGTTAGAAAACATGTTCACTCTCCAATGAAAAGATAATTAACAAGATTCTCTGGGCTATTAATTTGGCAGTGCTCAGGAACTACAATAGGCCATTCATCTTAATCGATGACCTGAGAGGAGCAGGGCAAATCTCTTCCACCAAAAGATATGCTGGAAGAGAAAGAATATGCCACATCCTTAAAGGTTAACTTCTGATGTCAAAAGTAAATGGAGAACACAAGGACAGATAGTGTAAAATAACCTGCTTCCATGCAAGGATCTGCCATAAAAAATTTGCTTTTATTTTCATTTCACTGCTCATGCAGAGCTCTCCGAATACTTTAAAAGTCCAAAAAACAAACAAACAAACCAATACAAAACAAGAGAAGATGAATTCAGGAGATCTCTAAGCACCAAGGTCCAAAGGCATGGACATTGCTTAAAAATGAACTACGAAGCATAAAGTCTCCTTTATTATGTTCAAAGACAGATGCAAAACCTCTCCCCCCATCCTAGAACAGTTTTCATATTTGAAACATCAGATTCTCCCTTCTTCTTAAAGGGCTCTGGAAAGATCATTGGAGGACCAGATTATTGACATCAAGCAGGGATGGGAAGACAAGAGAGAATGCCGATTCTTAGACCACGAACAGTAGTCTTAGGTTGTCAGTTTCCAGTCTGAGAATCAGCATTCCTTCCCCATTTCATTTTGGATGGGGAGCTGAAGCTCAGGTTATAGCTTTGTGTGACATCAGTAACATCCTCCTCCAAGGAGCTTTTCCAGAAACTGCCAACAAAGAAGAAAATGAGGAGCAGATATTCCCAATATGAAAGACAGACAAGCAGAACAAAGTTTAAGATCCTCTTCAAGCCCTTCTATCAAAAGAGGTGTAGAAAGCAAATGCACACTGTGTGTGTTACTTCATAGTTCATTTTTCAGGAAATAGCACTCTCACCTCTCAATCCTGAAGATTAAGATGGCCTTCCTACAACACAGGATTAGATTAATGGGATGGGAAGCTGCACAGGGGACTTCATTCACTGATCTCATGCTCTGAAAGCTCAAAATGACATCCTTAAACAGCCCTCACACTGAGATGTCACAACCTCAAGGACGATAAACACAGTAGTTTTAAGAATCCATTTAATGATGCCATGGAAGCTGTCTCTCACTACCCACATTCTGATGCAAAAGATCACAGAAGTGGGTAAAAAGCAACACAGCTAAGAACCTCTAACATTTACCATTAAACCCTACTGGTTTTATTTCTGTTCTAGACTCAAAGCTGTTTGAGGACTCACTCTCATCCTGTCTCTCTTCCATTATGAGGTACTCAACTCGAAAGCCATTCAGCAGGCAATGTAGCAAGGAGCTCTAGCAGACTGTCACTTCACACCTAGAATACTTCTTGGAATTCAGAGGCCCAACTCCTTCTAGTCATCATCCTGAGCCCTGCTGGCTTACAGCAATGAGATCAGGTTCCAGGAAGGGGTAAGAACACAAGAATTGCCATTCAGTCAAACCAATGGTCCACCTAGCCCAGTATCTTGTCTCAGACAGTGGCCAGGACCAGAGTTTTCAAAGGGAGTGTACAGAACAGGGCAGGTGGATTGATCCAACCCACTTCCCCTCCCGGCTTCTGACAGTCAGGAGTGCAGGTGTCTGGAGCACGGGTTGCATCCCTGACCATCCTGGTTACTAGCCACTGATGGACCCACCCTCCATGAACTGATCTACCCCCTTGGCTGCCTCTGCTTAACCCATTCTGCCTTGGTGCCCCGCAGCCGCCTTGCTGAGGTGGCAGCGCTCAGAGCACGCCAGGCAGACACCGGTTCCTCCCCACCCACCGTCCGGCTTTCACACGCCCCTTCCCCAGAGGCCCCAGGCAGCTCCCGAAGCCCTGGCTCCCTGCGTAGCGCCGGGCTGTACTTCTCAGCAGCGGCCCCAAACCAGGCACGGGCGGGGCTCGGCTCCCCCGGGCGCGGGGCTGGAGGCACTGGCAGCGCCCTGCTCCCGCCAGCAGCGGGGATTCGCGCCGGAGCCGCTGCGGGGCGGGATCTGGCCCGGGGGCTCCCCGCGAGGATCGCCACCACGCCCGGGTAAGCGGGCGTCGGGGCGGCCGGGAACGGGGGTCGTTCACCCCGACCCACCTGCCGCCGCCCGGCCTCGCGGCCTCGGGCTCAGAGAGCGCAGGCTCCGCGCCAGCTTCTCCGCCACGGCGGCCACTCGGCAGCGGAACATGGCTGCAGCGTGCCCCGGCCTCCGCTCCACTTTGCTCTGACCCCGGCCCGCCCTCAGCGCATGCGCCGCCCGCAACGCCGCTCCCCGATTGGGTGATCCCTCCACGCACGCGCAGTGCGCAATGGTCCGCCAGGGGAGCCTTCTCGCGTCGCGTCACTCACCTCTCGCGAGCGGGCCGGGCTGCGAAGCGTCGCTCGTGCCCCCCGTCTCCATAGTGCGTCCGCCGGGTCTGACCATGCGGTGGTTACCGGCGCGCTGCCTTCTCCGCCCACCGTGGCGGCCGCTCGCGGCCCCTCCCCGGCGGCGAAGCTCCGGGCCCGGCCGCCGCTGGCTTCTCACCACCCCGATCTTCTACGTGAACGGGCCGCCGCACATCGGGCACCTCTACTCGGCGCTGCTGGCCGACGCCTTGCACCGACATCGGGGCCTGCTGCGGCCGGGCCCGGGCCGCCTCGCCACCGGTGAGCGGAGGGGTCGGCGCTCGGTGGGGTGAGCGGGGGCGGGTTAGGGGCGGCCCCGGGCCGGGAGCAGGACCTGGCAACTCTGCGTCCCCGCCGGCCCGGAGCGCTCGCTGGGCAGGGGCCGGGGGGGCGGGCCGCGCTCGCCGGGGAGCCCCCCACTCAGCTGCCCCGCTTGGCTGTTGCAGGGACTGACGAGCACGGGCTGAAGATCCAGCAGGCGGCGGCAGCGGCCGGGACGTCTCCCCCGGAGCTCTGCGCGCAGGTGTCCGGCCTGTTCCGCGACCTCTTCTGCCGGGCTGCCGTCTCCTTCACCGACTTCATCCGCACCACGGAGCCGCGCCACCGCCGGGCGGTGCAGTGCTTCTGGGCGGCGCTGCAGGACCGCGGGCTGCTCTACAAGGACTTTTACGAGGGCTGGTACTGCACCCCGGACGAGTGCTTCCTGACCCAGGCCCAGATCACCGAGCGCCCCGACGCCCAGGGCCGCCCCTGCAAGGTCTCGCTGGAGAGCGGCCATCAGGTACAGCGGTGCGCTGCGCTGCCTTCCTGCCTGCCCTCCTCTTGGCATGGCCCGATGCTTCCCTGCCTCGCTGGCCAGAGCAGGTGGGCAGGTACTTTCTTCTCACCCGGGCCCAGGCCCTGTGCTCCCGTAAGGGATGCTCAGCAGACCGCCTGCTTAAGAGAAATAATAGCAGTTCTATAGTTAATGTAGCAAGACAGAAGCTGAAGTTTCAAATCTCTCTAGAATTTTCTTGTATAGTTAGATCAGCTTGAAATGTGGTGTGCCTGTTCATGGGCTGGAGCAGAGTTAGCGGTCTGAATTTGCACTCATTTAGTCAAAGGGTTCTGGAGATATAGAATACTATACAAGGAGATGGTTTTAAAACCTCAACCTTCTTATACCAATTTCTGGGCACAAATGGAGACAAAACAGAGGGCAATAGCCACATCAATCCCATGTCTCTTCACTGCATGTGTTGAGAGCTAGCATTCAGCACCAAGAAAAACCTCCTATATGTAAAAATTAGGGCTGTCAAACAATTTTTAAAAATTGTAATTAATTACTAGATTTAAAAAATAGTCATGCTTAATCTCAATTTTGATCACACTGTTAAATTTAAATTGGTATTCTATTATTGTTATAAATATTTTTGAATTTTTTCTACATTTTCAAATATATTTCTTTCAAGTACAACACAGAATACAAAGTGTACAGTGCTCACTTTATATTATTTTTTATTACAGATACACCTCTTCCCCGATATAACGTGACCTGATATAACGCAGGTTCGCACACAACGCGGTAAAGCTCCGACACGCTGCCCTGAGCAGCGTGTTAAGGGTGCCGGGCTGGGCTGGGGCCGAGGGGTTGGATAAGGGGCAGAGGGTCTCGGGGGCGGTCAGGGGCTCCCCCCCCCAGGGTCTGGGAGGCAGGAGCTGTGTGGGGGGGTGCTTTTGGGGGCCCCACAGTCCCAGAGTGGCCCTAGGGATTAGCAGGGGGCTGGGAAAGGTCCCGCACTCACTTGCGGCGGGAAGCGGAGCACCGCGGCTGGGAGCTGGTGGAGTGGAGCAGGTTGGGGCCGGGCTGCTCCGCTTCCACTGCTGCTGGTGAGTGCGGGGGGGATCCCTTCCCCCAAGTCCCCTCCCTCGAGCAACACGGCTGGGGCCGGGGTGAGGGAAGCGGAGCGGGCTGGGCCCTGTTGTTCCACTTTCCACTGCAGGTGAGTACGGGGGGGCGTCCTTTCCCCAATCTCCCCGTACTCACCAGTGGCGGGAAGCGGAGCGCCACAGCTTGGAGGTGGCAGAGTGGAGTGGGCTGGGGCCACGTCGCTCCGCTTCCCACCACAGGTGAGTGCGGGGGGACATGCTTTCCCCAACCTTCCCTTCCCAATCTGTGGCGGGAAGTGGAGCAGCCTAGCCCCAGCCCGCTCTTCTCTGCCAGCTCCCAGCTGTGGCACTCCCCCACTCACTTGTGGCGGGAAGCGAACCTTTCCCCAACCCCACCCCCAGTGACACTGCTCAGGCTGGGGCAAGGAAAACGGAGCGGGCTGGGGCTGTGTTGCTCCGCTTCCCGTCGCTGCCGGTGAATGCCTGTCAGGGGGCGAGCGGTGTAGATAGGGGTCGGAGCAGTCAGGGGACAGGGAGTAAGGGGGTTGGGTAGAGGGTGGGGTCCTGGGGGTGATTAGGGACAGGGGTCTCTGGAGGGGGCGGTCAGGGAACAAGGAACAGGGATGCCAAAGCAAGTTCGATATAACACGGTCTCACCTATAACGCAGTGAGATTTTTTTTTTTGTCTCCCAAGGACCGCGTTGTATCTGGGTAGAGGTGTATTTACACTATAAAAACAAAAGAAGTAGGTTTTTTTCAGTTCACCTCATACAAGTATGGTAGTGCAATCTCTTTATTGTGAAAATGCAACTTACAAATGTAGAATTATAGAGCCTACAAGTCAAAGCACGAAGGGGCTCACGAATGTTTAACATATCTGGCACATAAATACCTTGCCAATGCCAGCTACAACAGTGCCAGGTGAAAAAGTGACATAAGAAGCAGACAGCATTATCTCCCATAATGTTTACCTTTGCGATTGGCTGAACAAGAAGTAGGACTGAGTGGACTTGTAGGCTCTAAAGTTTTACATTGTTTTGTTTTAGAGTGCAGTTATGTTAAAAAAAAAAAAATTCTGCATTTGTCTGGCAGATGTTGGCACATCAGCTGGATGTGAGCTCCTGGTCCGATGTCCCTGCTAAAATGTTTAACATGATCCTTGAGGGCGTAAGCCAGAACATCCAGTAGCAGTATAGAGGTGGTATGACCTCTGTATACCACATTAGTAAGACCATTACTGAGTACTCTGTCCAGTTCGGTGTCCACACTTGAAAAAGGATGTTGGAAAATCAAAAAAGTTCAGAAAAGAGCTACAAGAGTGAAGCAAAGTCTGGAAACCTGCTTTACAATGAAAGACTTTATGTGGGGAGAATAGTTAATAACAGTGAGGATAATTAACTATCGGACGAATTTATTAAGGGTTGTGGCAATTTTTGAATCAAGATTGGATGTTTTTCTAAAAGATTTGCTCTGGTTCAAATAGGAATTATTTGGGGGCAGTTCTCTGGCCTGTGCTATACAGGAACTCAGCCTGAATGATCACAAAGGTCCCTTCTGGCTTTTGAATCTATGAATGTTTCTGATAACAGAGGGCTTGTTAATACAGCAGGCAAAGGCATATTGAGATCCAGAGGCTGGAAATTGAAATCAGGCAAACTCAACCTGGCAATAAGATACAAGTGTTTAACAATGAGGGACAATTTACCTAGGGACGTGGTAGATTCTTCATCACTTGAAATCAAGATTATATGTATTCCTCAGAGATGTGTTCTGGCTTAGTCAAATTGGGCTTACTGCAGGAATCACTGGGTAAGATTCTCTGGCCTCTTGTTATGCAGGAAGCCAGACTAGATTATTATGATAATCTCTCTTGCCTTTAACATCTATGAATTCCCAGTTTGGCCAGACAGTTCCTGAGTTCACTGATCAAATCAGTCTGCAGCATATATACCATTTTAACTAAAGTGAAATTTCAAATTAATTCAGTTAAATAAGTGAAAAAGGTGTTGTGGACACTCTTGTATCAGTCAGGTGTATATCAATTTATCTTCAGTGGATTAGGAAAAGATTTAAACTAAATTGAAGTAAAATACTCTTAAACCAAAGTAAAAGTGTCTACATGGGGTTTTGAACCCATTCCAGTAAATGGTCTTAAAAACGAATTTAAATTAAACCAGTGCAACTTTTGTGTGTTGTCTAGGAAGTTTCATTTCCTGGTTTTCTAATGCTCGCCTGGGGGAGGGAGAGGTGCAGTCCTTGTAGTAGAGATGTATGGGGACCATAGCTCTGCATTTCCTGGTTTTCCAAGGTTTGAATTTTGAGAATTAAGCTCTTGTGCAGTGGGAGGGCCAAAAGGGCACCAAGCACGGTTGGATGTCTAAAACCATAACTCCATGTGAACAAACGTATGGGTGTCACTTGTAGAACTTAGTGAAGGGTATTAGTTGTAATTCATTTTTCTCTCACGCTCTCAGGTGCACTGGACCAAAGAGGAGAATTACATGTTCAAGCTGTCTGAATTTCAAGAGCCGTTACAGAAGTGGCTCCAGGGGAATCGGCACGTAATCTCCCCAGAGCCCTTCTACCAGGTGGTGCGCCGATGGCTGGAAGAGGACTTGCCAGACCTGTCTGTCTCCCGTGAGAGAAGCCGATTACAGTGGGGTATCCCTGTCCCTGGTGATTCAACACAAACCATTTATGTGTGGGTAGATGCCTTGGTGAACTATCTGACCGTAGCGGGTTACCCTGATGCACACCATGCCTGGTGGCCAACTGCTCACCATGTTGTTGGCAAGGACATCCTCAAGTTCCATGCCATCTACTGGCCAGCATTACTCATGGCTGTGGGGCTTGATCCTCCAGAGCAGATCTGTGTGCACTCCCATTGGACAGTCCATGGGCAAAAGATGTCGAAAAGCCTGGGCAATGTGGTGGATCCAGTGGCATGTTTCAAGCAGTACACGGTGGATGGCTTTAGGTACTTCCTGCTAAGGCAAGGTGTCCCTGAGCGAG